GTGGGTTGTGGTGCAGCCACAACCTTGGCACGAGTATAGGTGGAGGACCTTGTTCTGGTTTGGAGCATACCCTCCACTCCTGATTATTCTTTTCCGGTTATATCTCCCAGAGGCAAATAGCCTTCTCGAACGGCAAGCAACGAGGATAGAACGTCACGCTGAAGAAGATATCGAAAATATGTTCTAGAAAGAAGCCTGAGTGAGGCCCATCCGGCCAGGCCTGGCCGGATTGTAGATGTAGCAACGGCACAGTCTTGAGGGATGAAAGAATTGTTCTGTTGAGCATACAAGTGCGGGGGAGCCTATATACTAGAGACTAGCGTGAAGAGTTTTTCTAGTGTCCTCAGCAGCTAAAACCTGACCATGCCAGACAACGAGACTCCTTGCAACCGTAGATGTTGAAAACATGAGCATGATTTCATATACGAGCCATAAGCACTCATGTGCATATGTAAGTGCTTACACATCTTTCATGTTTGCTCCCTGAACTTTGTTTTCTCATGTTATTTTTCTTCTCTTACCTGACCAACAAAAACACACCCAATTCCTTCTGTCCCTTGCTTGCTGTTTCCTCTACTCTGTGCAGTCAACAAACCTACCTCTTTTCTTTCTCTTGACTCCACTCTCTGTATACAAGAAAAATACTTTTCTCTCTTTGGGCATTTACTCCCTTCGGTTCCGTAAAACCCTCATCAATTCAACTGCAATTTCCAACAGGTTATGAGCCCGGGTTTTGCGCAACGATAAGTCTCTTCACAAATACCATCCATCCGTCAAGAATCTTCAGCCAAACTATTGTCACAATGTCTACCTCCAATAAACTCTCCGAACTCGTCTCTGGCACTTCACCAAGCGAAACCTTCAACTGCAAATTCGGTACAACAGAAAAGCTAAACGAGAAAAATTACCACCATTGGAGCGAGGACCTGAAGGCCTTCATGAGAGCTGATCAAACCTACGATGTTATTTTCAGTTCACATAATCCACCAGCTTTAGAAGACCAAGCAGCCTATACCGAATACCGAAACAAACTCAATCGAGCCTTCGGAATAATCTTTACCTCCTGTACCCAACAAGCCAAGCAGCATATCCGTGGTCTCGATTGTCCCATTGCCATGTGGACCTCTCTGAAAAATAAGTACGATGTGGCTGCCTCTCGTATCGGACGATCAACTCTTCAACGACAATTCTTTGCACTTCGACTTGAACCAGGTGTTCGCATCGGTACCCTCATCTCCGCTATGAAGTCTATCCAGTCCCGCCTACTTGGTACCGACATGGAAATCTCTACCAACTCCTTTATCTCACTTCTAAATTCTCGTCTACCTGAGGAGTATCTTCCAACACTTGACCGCATCCTTTCACAGGAACACCTCGACATCAATCATCTTATCGAAGCGATTCTGCAAAAGGAGCAGGCAATTCTAGAGCGAAATGACGATGTTACTGGATCAAACACTGCCTCAGCTACAACGACTGCTCTTACCGCCAATATTCGTCCAATGCCATCTTCTCGTGGACGTGGAAGTGAAAGTTACCGTCCTTTATTCCGCGGAAATCAGAACTCTCATCGAAACTTCAGAAGTGCGGCAAGACGGATGAGTAGTGGCAATAATGGAAGAAGAAGATTTAGTACCAGCAATGGAAGAAGGATGGGTAGCAGCAGTGATGGCCCAATCTGCAACTACTGTGTCAGGAGAGGACATACAGAGGCTTCTTGCTTTACGAGGCAAAGAGCTGAGAGAAGAATGAATGGCCAACATTCCCGAAATCACTTTGACACCAGAAATTCTTCCCACTTCCATTCCAGAAATGTCAACACAAACAACAATGATGATCCCGAGCAAGCTCTTATGGCATCCTATGTCTCTGAGCATGCCTTGACTGCGAATACAACTGGTTCTACAAACCAATCAAAGGGATGGATTATTGACAGTGGAGCATCGGATAATTTGGCACCAGATCGGAGATCGTTTCAAAGTCTGACATCACTTTCAGCTCCGATTCCTGTCTATCTTGGAGATGGAACTGAGCTCCATGGTATTGCTCGTGGCAAGATTAACATCAAGCTCCATAGTGGTGCCATAGTTGAGATTGATGCCCTCTACGTTCCCAAGCTTCGATACTCTCTACTCTCTGTTGGATGGCTTTGCCGCAAGTATATTGTCACCTTTACCTCCTCTGTTTGTCACATCCAAAAAGCTAGTATGCCACCAAGTCAGCTGGCAACACTTCAGAATGGACTCTGGAAACTTTCCGGTTCACCACTTTCGGTTGATCACCTCTATGCGCAGTTGGCACACTCAGGAACTTCAATCACAAAAGTATCTTGGGACTTATGGCATGCCCCCCCCGTTTTGCACACCTCAACCTCCAATCACTAAGGCTAGTCCTTGGGAATACCCTTACC